CTGATTGGAATATGCATTGAAGGCCGTACACGTTGCTTGATTTATGAGCTCGTCCACAATGGGAGTGTCGAGTCCCACTTGCACGGTGACATATTCTATTCTCTGCACTTTTAATAACAATATATCCCAATTGTATCCATCACTTCTCGTTGCATTACCACCTAAAACCTGGTTTTCCGGTTGTTGACAAAACAGAAGGAACACTTGATTGGGATGCACGGTTGAAGATTGCACTTGGAGCAGCGAGAGGACTGGCTTATCTCCATGAAGATTCAAATCCCCGAGTAATCCACCGTGATTTCAAGGCTAGCAATGTTCTCCTAGAAGATGACTTTACCCCAAAAGTCTCAGACTTTGGACTGGCAAGAGAAGCAACAGAAGGAAGTCAACATATTTCAACTCGAGTCATGGGGACCTTTGGGTAAAATTTCTTTCCAACTCAAATATGATGAATACATACACTCTGGTTAGAAGACGGACTTACAGTGACTACCCTGGGAGTAATTTCAGGTACGTGGCTCCTGAGTATGCAATGACGGGGCATCTCCTTGTTAAAAGCGATGTTTATAGTTACGGTGTGGTTCTACTAGAGCTTCTCACCGGTAGAAGACCGGTAGACATGTCTCAACCTTCGGGAGAGGAAAACCTTGTGACATGGGCGAGACCCTTACTAGCCAACAGAGAGGGCCTGGAGCAACTAGTGGACCCTGCATTGGCTGGAACCTACAACTTTGATGACATGGCGAAAGTGGCTGCGATTGCCTCCATGTGCGTCCACCAAGAGGTCTCACACAGACCATTCATGGGAGAAGTTGTGCAGGCACTGAAACTTATATACAACGATGCAGATGAGACCTGTGGTGACTATTGCAGCCAAAAGGACTCATCAGTACCAGACTCTGCTGATTTCAAAGGCGATCTGGCTCCTTCGGATAGCAGCTGGTGGAATTTGACACCTCGATTAAGGTATGGTCAAGCTTCGTCGTTCATAACAATGGAATATAGCTCAGGACCACTAGAGGACATGGAGAACCGGCCTCACTCTGCCTCTAGCATTCCAAGAGAAGGAGGCCTTATTCTACCAAACAGATCGGGTCCATTAAGACCCATGCGTAGTCGAAGAAACTTCTTTAGACTGAGAGGAAGCATGAGCGAACACGGTGGACCGTCGTCTTCTAGACATCTCTGGTCCGGCAATGGCGACTGGCTCTGAGAAACCAGAAAATGTACAGAGAAGAAAAGGGAAAGAGGAAAAGGAGGCTCACAACTCTTGAGCTGCATGGTTAGGTTGTGGTTAATCCGGTTTGGTTCGGTTCTTCTGGGTAAAGACTTTCCGGTTTGATTTCTTTTAGGAGTTCTTTTTTTTTTGTTTTGTTTTTCCTCAATAGAAGATTAATTGTTTGTTTTTGCGAGGATGCAAAAGCACAGGAAGGGTTGTATTTTAAAGGACGTCTGTATTTAGTTCTCTCTTCTTCTCTTTCTCCCCCACAAAAAACATTTTTTATTTTTTTTATTTTAGTGAAGTTAGTTATTACCTATTTTTTTTTTAGTTTTTCAAGTTCCTAAGAATTTTGGCTTTTGGTCATCGTTGTTTAGTTTCCGGTTCTCAAAATTTAAATCCGAAGTATTTTTTGGTTAAATAAATTTCTGGCTTGGGAGAGTCATTCGCTGGTGAATGGTGGTAACAAGTCACTTGGTCAAAGCTGTTGTAATGCTTTTCTAGTATCTTCTGGGCACAATGACAAGGATTGTTGGTAAAAGTATAATTTCATATGTTTGTCTTTCTTCCTCGCTATCTTCTTAGTTCCCCCTTCCACTTTCAGCAAAACCTCTTGTTCATTTTGTTATATAAAGAAAATCAGTAGGCCCAATAAACACAAGAATTGATATATGGGCTAAGCAAACAACGGTCACCGAGCGTAAGAGAAAGAGTTTTTAAATTTTGAGTTTTAAAGTAATGGTCTTATTGGGCCTACATTATGAAACCCATCTAATCTCTCGAGATATAACCGTTGAGGACAAAACGCTAAAATCGTTTATATTGCCGTCCGATTAAAGTATATGACGGATCAGATCAACGGTCATTATGGGTATAATTATATCCGTTATTAACGATACATTATTTTTCTCCCAAATATTTATCTCTTCTCTTTTCTTTTCTCGAAGAATTCTTCGAAGACTGGTGAAGAAATTGGTTTCAAAATGGAGTCTTAAGACAAGACTGTGAACTTAAAAAAGTACTAGACCAAACGGCTTAAAAAAGTTGTAAGACAAAGATACTTGACAAAGAATGTTGGATGGTAAAACGACCAGCAGATTTAAGGAGTCTTAAGACAAGACTGTGAACTTAGAAGTACTAGACCAACGGCTTAAACCATTTTTAACCCAATGACTTTTAAGAATTTGTAAGACAAAGATACTAGACACAAAATATGCAGCGAGTTAAGAATGAGGTAAGTAAAGGGCACTCTCACTTAAAATAAATACTAACAGATTCTGATATCCACAGGTATATGCTTGAAGGTGTTTAAAGTGTGAAGACTTTGAGGAGTTTTCAAGTGTAGCTGACTTCTTTGACAGGTATATGCTTTTCAAACCTTTTTGTTTTTGTTTTTATTTTCTTTTCAAACTTGTTTGTAATTAGTTGATATGTTGGGGTCGCCTCGGGGTACTCGAGCCACATCGCCTCGGGGTACTCGAACAAGACAGCTCGGGATACCCGAGCCGGTCTCTGCTGTATACCCGAGCCGATTACACAAGTTCCCCGAGGCGAAATCATCAACCGCCCGAGGCAAAGACTTAGTAAATAGTTGTCTTCAAAGTATCATTCCCAAGCAAGACATCATTTCCGAAAAAGAGGGATCATTTCCGATAGACCCAGAAATGATGAGGAAGAATCTCGAAGGATCGATTCAAATCAGGAAATCTTCCAAGAAACTCCGAAGAATATGGAAACTATCCTAAATCCGCGATATTCCAAGCCGACTCCATGATAAATGGAAATCTTCCGAGAATATCGCTGGAGAGGCGGTTTATCATCCCTATATATAGAGACTCGAGGCTCACACAGAAGGGAAGCAACATCGCTCTAGAATTTACACTACACAGCTCTCACAGCACAAACATCTTTTCTTTTAACGATCAAACTCTTGTACGATCAAAACTACTCTTTTCATCCATAAAATCAAGAACACCATCTTTGGTTACAATCGTTTCTGTTGTTCTTTGAGAATTCACGTTTTATCGTATCCCTAAATTAAAACCCTAGACAAATCTCGATTGTGTTAGTTTCGACTTCCACATGATACATGTTTGAAAATCACAAGTGAGAGACAATTATGTGAAGTATAGACTAATTTTGACTTGCTCAGGTGTGTTATTCAAATGATGTTAAATTTCTCATTGATGCCAAGGAGATTTCTAAGTGTAGCAGAATTTATGATCAGGTATAAGATTTCTTGACTTTTCTGTGATAAATTGATTTTATTACATGTGATAAGAAATTAGAAATGCAGGTCTAAGCACCATTCTTAATTAAAAATGTTTCTTATATTAGTTGTCTTAATAGCATTACTATCCTTGAATCTTGATCTATCCCTCAGATTCTATAAACTTCTTGCTAACGTATCATTGATAAAAAAAATGTTGATTTTGCTTTGGAAATTGGAACATTACATTGTGTGTTTTTAAAAATTTATTCTTTCTGTGTTTTCAATGCTTGTGTCTCGTAAGGTCTCTCATTCTTTAAAATGGAGGCATCTTAGAGTCTCTTGTTGATATTATGATTATAGTTTCCTTGAATCTTGAAAGTATTTGTTTTGCGTAATGCTTTAAACCTTTGTTGATTGATCTAACCAAGTGAATGAAATATGCATCATACACTGAGAAAAGGTAAATTTTACATTACATTTCTGTGTTTATAATTCTTGCTATCTCTGTTTTGGTGTTTGTATGTATAATAAAGTCCCTCATTTTATGAAATAGATGTATCTTGGAGTATCATGTAGATACTTATTCATCTAGTCTAGTCTTTCTCAAATTTTGCATCTTACACGCACTAAGTCATGTAGATACTTATTCATCTAGTCTAGCTTACCAGAATGATGTCGAATTGAAAAAGTGAATTGCTGGAGATAGGCAATCCACGACGCATGGCGAAACGAGACTTTAGCTTGACTATCAAGATTTTCATAAAACGTCATGATCGGTGAAGAGAACAGAGTTACGTTGTACCAAGTAATGTCGTCAATGTTTGATAGCCTGAACAATAGCATAAAATTCGACGTCAGAACTACCTTTGCGCTCCTGATAATTTCTCACTAAAATAAGCAATGTGGCGGCTTTGTTGACTGAGAACATCACCAATGCCGACTTTAATTAGAAGCATCACAATGGAGTTCAAAGGTCAAGAAAAAGTCAAGGAGCAGCAATATCAGATCGGTTGTGAGCTTAATAAGCTCAAATGCTTTGTTAGCCTCAGTTGTCCACTCAATATGACCATCTTTCACGCAGATCGTAATTGGTACACAGTGCTGCTAAAGTGATGCACAAATCGTCAAGCAAAATTCTGGAAAAAATCCTCATTTATTTTGTATTTGGCTGTTTAACACTCAAGGTTTATTTCCAACAGTGTTTTAGGGATTTACCGTTAGGAAAGCAGCGGCTAACTCCTTGGCATTGAATCTGAAACACTAGGATTACGAGAATTTAGCTGATCATGACTCTGTATCGATGCTTGAATCTGAGGAAAACTACGGTTTGGATGAAAGATGATCATAACATTATGAGATATGTTGTAAAATAATACGTTTTTTAAACTTAATATGGAAAGTAGTACAACTACTATTTACAATCGGCAAACTCCCACATTTGTTGGTGTAGTTTTTTTGCCACTTACTCATTTGCCATAAAAAAAACTGAGTATTTACTTCTCCATGCCATTGTCTTTATTTTTTTAAGAAAATAAAAAAACAAATATTTATTTATTTTTCTCTTTCCATCGTCTTCTCCAACTCAATTACCACAAACTTTTTTTTGTTTCTTCTATCATCTTCTCAGATTCTATTGAACAAAAGAACAATCCATGTTCTCTTGGATCTTTGATTTTTAAAGTAAAAATCATCATTTTTGAGATCTGGGAGTAGATAAAGATTCTATTTTTTCTCCCTTTAAATTAATTCCACTAAAGATGCTAAAAGCAGTAGTCGTCTTTCACGGGCACACAAAATTAAACCAAACAAACAAACAATCCGAGAGAGAGAGGTTTGCGAATCTGGGTTTTCAATTCAGGTGTTAATACAAGATTTTGATCAATTCCCATCTCAAAGGAAGACGAGATTCGATCCGATCGATCAGATTTGTAGAAGAAGAAATGGCGAATCTGTATGTGAAAGTTGTTCCACCACCGGATATGAACAGGAATACGGAATGGTTCATGTATCCATGATTTTGGACAACTTACATGCTCAGTCTCTTCTTCGCTTGGCTCGTTGTTCTCTCTATGTCGAGTTTTTCCCCTGGAATGGCTTGGACTGTTGTTAATCTCGCTCACTTCGTTGTAAGTCTTCTTCTTCCTTTCAAATTCGATTGTGTTTATGCTTTAGAGATGATTGTTTCACTTAGGGTTGTGACTTCCTAACAAGATTCCCAATTCTTACTTGTGATTTTGTCTTTTATCTCATAAAGAATTATGCAATTAAAGGACAATTTAGCTAAAAGGATAAAAAGAGGAAGATACTTTTGATTTGAAGATTTATATGTATTTATGGTAATGATTTTGATTCCAATCTAATTTACAAAAGTAGGTGGGCATATGGAGGAGACATTAAGGTTTATTTCAGGAATGGAGAAGATTAGACTCAAAGACACCCAAGAAGGAGTTGTGTTTGGTAATTTAGACTCTGTTTTCTCGAAGATGCTGCACCAAATGGGACTTGTTTTTCCTTGTTCCACTGCGGTTTTCATCAATTCTTTTGAAGAACTGGATCCTACCATTTTGTTTTTCTTTTGTTCTAAGATTACAAGCCTTTTCTAGTTCTGATTTCATTCATTGTGATTGGAAGATTTTAAGGTTTGTTGATATACTCTTATACTGTCTTTGGGTATACTTTGGTATATGTTTTGTGTGCCTTATGAAAAACGATGATCCAGTGTCTAAAAGATTAACTCGGATGAAAGTCTTACCTTTAGATTTAGCTTCAGAGCCCTTTACAAAAGTTATATAAAATTGAGTTAGATTTCCAACGGCGGTGAGTTCAGGCCAATCAGAGCAGTAGTTCAAGATTTATGATCGATTTAGTACACACATATCAATATGACGCATATAAGAATGTCATCCGGAAATTTCAATATTTCAGACCAGAGGTTATAACGACTTAGTGCAGCGGGATCAATACACCACTTGAGACTTTTTTATGATAAAATTATGGGTAAGTAGACAAATAGTCATTGGTTATATTTTGTTTGAGAAAGAGGATACCATTTTGTTTGTCTCCTTTTTTTTTTGTTGTTTTTTTTTGTTTGTCTTCTTTGGTTCTAAGGTAATCACGTTTGCTCTTTTTCTTAATTATGCTTCTCCATGCAGTATCACTGATCGAAGATTTAATAACTGGAATGCGAAAGCTGATGGAATAGCTCAGGTATGCTCTTACACTGTGAAATAGCTTCTGGAATTTTTGAACTTTTCTTCTCTCATCTTAGATTCGCTAGAAATCAAATCTCTTTATTCCATTTCTTTGAGTCCTTCAAATTCTCACACTTCCTAGTTCAGCATATCCACATCTGATATCGGTAATTTCACATGTTTGACAAATTTTGATAGGGTTGGAATTCCATCCACATTTGATTTCACTCTTTTAGTCTAATTCTTAATTTGCACAACTCTATATATTTGTACAACTGTATAAATCTGTACAATGGTCATATTTTTACGGTTGTATCTGAACATACATCCTTCTTATTTGTGGTTAAATCTTCATTTCACAAATCTCCATTCCACATACATCCTTCTGTACAGATGTATCAATCTGTACAGATGATATGACATATGTATTACCGGTGCACTTGAATTCTATTATATGACATTTTATTAAACTTAAAAGAATAAATTCGTTTTAAACATATATAAGGAAATATATCCGTCCAGCTAGAAACATGTACAGATAGAATAGTTATATCTTTTATAATTATTTATGCACTTAAACATATAATTATCTGTGCACTTAAACATATAATTATCTCTCTGTACAGATGCATCTCTCTGTACAGATGGATGCATCTGTACAGATGCATCTCTCTATACAGATGTATCCTTCTGTACAGATGTATCATTCTGTACAGATGTATCCTTCTGTACAGTGGTTTATATCTGTACAGTTTTTCTTCTGTACAGTGGTTCATATATGTACAGTCACTCTTCTGTACAGTAATATAGTATTTATGTAATTCTTTCTGTACAGTAGTATTTATGTCACTCTTCTGTACAGTCACTCTTCTGTACAGTCATATTTTACTGTTTGATCTTCAATTCTTTCTTGCTTTTGATAATCACATCAATATAGTATTTATGTAAATGATAAATTTTTGAAAAAAAATCACTAATTATTTGTACTCAAATCTTCATTCCACATTCATCTTTTTGTACATGTATATTTCTGTACAGATGCATCCTTATGTACAGTGTTTTACCTGTACAGTCTTTCTTCTGTACAATGTTATATATCTGTACAGTGCTCTATATCTGTACAGTGGTCTATCATCTGTACAGTGGTTTATATTTGTACAATCATCCTTCTGTACAGTGATTTATATCTGTACAGTCATTCTTCTGTACAGTGGTCTATATCTCTACAGTCATCTTTTTTATACATTAGTCTATAATATAAATTTTTTAAAAATTATCAAACAAAATGCATATCAAATGATAGAGAAAAAAACATAGATTTTTATGTATTTGATAAATTTTAGAAACAAAAAATTCACTAACGAGCATCTTAATTATGAGACTTTAGGGGAATATGAGATAATTAAAAAAAGAAAAGAAATTAAAAAAAAAAACATGACCCACATTCTCTTTCTCACAAATACAAAGCCCCTAGTAGTAATTTCCATTCTCTTACACTCTACCCCACTTTATCTCCTATCTCACACAAATTCTATTACACAAACACTAATAATTGATTGTTTCTCTAATTATAAATAGTACTCGTACTACTTTCCCAATTATTACTCACAAACGTACTATACTAGATTTTATCCCGCGGTACACCGCGGGTCGATTTTTTATAACTAAAAAATTATTTAGCAAAATTCTTTGTCGGTTGATGATTCTTCAAACATGAAACGTGCTCTAGAACCTACGACTACGACTACGAGTGCAGAAGCAAATCCTAAGATTTCATCCAAAGTATATTGTTTAATATTAATATCGATCTAAACCCGTTACACCATATAACCCCATTCCGTAAAATTAAACATCATTTGTTATTTTTTTTTGAATAATATTTTTATCCACTATGGGTCGCAGGTTCATGCGGATAAGCCTGTAGAGAGTTGCGGGTTTGCGTGTCGACCCGCCAAAAGAGAAGCTATCTTTTGAAACCATTTGTTATATTTAGAGGTTTTGAGAAAATATCCCTAAAAAATAATTTTCATTATATGAAAAAAAAAAAAGTGGAAGAAATTGTAGTATTAAGTATCAACATTCCTTATTTTTACATCATTCGTTACTATTAATTTTTTTTTTTTGCAGATAAAAATCAGAAGTTAACTAAGTCGAGATTTTTAAAAAGATTGTGTAGAGATTTTTGGTAAATTTAAAAAAAAAAACATGACCCACATTCTCTTTCTCACAAATACAAAGCCCCTAGTAGTAATTTCCATTCTCTTACACTCTACCCCAAATCTTTACTTAAATAAAACAAATCTAAATAATTAATGTTAATGGCATGCCATTGTAAATACTTCTCAACTTCAGGATTCTACTTTCCCAATTATTACTCACAAACGTACTATATTGCCAACAAACCCTAACATTATCTCTTTGCATAAATGACGAATCACTGCTCAAACTCGTTGATGATTCTTTGTCGGTTGATGATTCTTCAAACATGAAACGTGCTCTAGAACCTACGACTACGACTACGAGTGCAGAAGCAAATCCTGAAACTTGTGTCTGTTCAAGGTCTGTTTCTGGCTTCTCTCGGCAATGAAGTTACATCATTTGAGTTGCAGGAGAACCAGCAGTCATGGTCTCATGGATATTTTTATTTAAACATTAATGACATAAATTAAAATCACTTCTAATCAAGCATTTAGAAATATCAACTTAGTGTAATTAAAATAACATGCATGCTAATGGCGCATTCGTGGAATCTCCTTCTCCGGCTGCTCAAAGATTCTCGTAACTTTTATCAAACAAAATAAAGATTCTGCTAACTTACGAGTACTCGAGCTCTTGAAAATACTAACTTACAAAAGTTTCTCACAAAAAAAAAAAAAAAATGATTTTTCATGATTTTTCAATAATATATACTATGTTTCTTTGAAAAATAATTTGTCAAATAAAGTGGCTTCACAATTCTCGTCTAAAATATGATTACACAACTTTTTCTAAAATTTGTTTTATATGCAAATCACCGGTCAAACCGCCATTTTATTTACATCTATTTACTATTTTACAACTAAAAATGTGTTTTTACAACCAATTATTTTTTACTAGTGAAGAATGTTTTTATCACCACCTCCAAAATGTCTTTACCCTTTACAAACAAATTAAACCAACTATAAATATATCTTTACATTAACTTTTTCATAGTTTCTGAAATCAATAAAATTGTTAACTTAAAAAGTATTTCGAATGAAAAATATATCTTATAGCAATAATTGATGATATATTTGACGGGCGATGATAGAATGCTTATTAAAACGATATAGTAATGTTAAATAACGTTATTCAGACGCTACAGAAGACTAATATTCTTGTAATGGATCTTAATAATTTTGAAAACCAAGCTTTATTAGACGGTTTAACCTAAATATCAAAATCTTAACATTAACATTAACAAGCCAAACGGTTAAACTAGGGCCCAATACTCCCTTATTTCTATTATGTATATATACATACAGGGCCGGCTCAATTAATTTGGAGTTCCTCTACAAATCTTAAAAATTGGTCATTTTTTCATACAAAAAATCTTAAAAATTGGTCATTTTTTCATACAAAAAATTGGCTTTTTTCATATTAAAGAGAATATTTGGGCATTTTTCATGCTAAAAATATCTTAAAATCTTAAAAAATACTCTTTTTATACTAAAAAAAATATATTTTAGGCCCATACTCTTGCTCACCCTAAGAACCGGCCCTATATATATATATATATATATATATATATATATATATATATATATATATATATATATATGTTTTTCTTTGTTATAAAGAGTAGTGTGAATTAGGGTTTTTCTTGATTCATCTCTCGGTGGCTTTTTGTTTTTAGCCATAGTCTTCCAAAATTAGGGCACAGAAGAAGAAGAAGAAGCAACCTCCGCCTCTGATGATTACGTCACTTCCCGACGACATCATCGTCGATATTTTAGCGCATGTGTCGAGATGGGACTATCCAACTCTCTCCCTTGTCTCTAAACACTTCCGGTCACTCGTTTCCTCGTCTGAGCTATACGCTAGACGATCCTTGTTGGGATACACCGAAGCTTGTATCTATTCTGTTCTCTTTAATTACGACACTGGAAGATTTCATTTGTATGTTCTTCGTCGTCGTCTGAAAAGAAACAACAACAGTTGTTATTTTGTCCTTATCGGGTCACTTCCTCCTATGCCTTCCAACGCAAGTTTTGTCTCAGTTGGTTCGAAGATATATGTGTTGAGTGGAAATTCGAGATCAATTCCCTATAACATAGACTGTAGATCTCACATTTTGCAGCCCCACTCCAAAATTCCTCATGGACCCGAGGCTATAAAGATTGTTGACGTCATCGACAAAAAGATTTACGTAATGGGAAAGTGCGATCATGACGATGCAAAGAAGGTAATGCTGGTGTTCAATACAGAAACACAAAGGTGGGAGCCTGAGATGACAACAAAGCCAAGCCTAGAGTTACGTCGGTTCTGGTTTGAACGCGTGGTTATTGCGGATAAGATGTACGTGAGGGATTACCATTATTCTCAGGAGAGCTTTGTTTACGAGCCAAAGGAAGATAAATGGGAATTGGACGAGATGTTGAATTCTAATAAGTGGTACCGTGGGTGCGTTCTTGATGACCTATTGTACTACTATGATCCTTTTGAGAACAAGTTAAGAGCGTATGATCCAAAGCACAGGTGTTGGAAAGTGGTCAAAGGTTTGGAAGAATTTTTGCCTCATGTAGCTTTTCCATGGTCAGACACTGTGAATAATGGTTGGAAACTAGCTGTGTTCTTCATTACATGTGAAAATTGGGCTATAAGAAGAGAGATTTGGTGTGCAGAGATCTCAATTGAAAGACGCCAAGGAGAAATTTGGGGTAAAGTTGAGTCGTATGATGTTGTGTTTAATTGGAACTTTCGCTACAAGAAAACTCTAGCGGTTATGGTTTGATCAAGTTCAGTTCTAAGCACAAGCAAGCGAACCCATCGATTGTCGTTTTTTTTTTTTCGCTAAGAATTGTCGGGTTTTTTTTTTTTTTAATTTTTTTGTAGCTTTTTAAATTTAGTTGTCCCTTTTATTAAAAATAGTACTTGAACAAAGATATCATATACTATTATTTGGGAAGTACATCCTATAAGTCGTAACGTTGAGTTTGTAAGAAATTACAATATATGCCATTAGAGATCTCTAATCATAATCATTTTAATTCACTGTCACTAATATTAACCAATTTATTAAAAAAATTAGGTCAAACGGGTTTAAAGATATTTAAAAGATTACCTAATATTTAGGAGGCCAATCACGAATTTAACAAACATGGATTTTGTTTAGATACAAATAATTTTTAATCATACAATGAAATTTAGTAGATTTTAAAATATTTTCTTAACTAAACTATACTAATTAGTTATGATTAATATATATGGAAGAAAAAACAAAATTGTATATATTTAAACTAATTAAATTTGATAATATATTAATAGATATTTCCAGAAATGACAATCCAATTTAATGTAATTTAATAATAAGGAATCATCATTTATTTTTAAATTTCAAAAATTCAAATAATAACAAATCATCATTTTAATTTAATTATCTTTATTTTTAAGATTTCGTCAAGATTTGCATCTTAAATTAATAAAATAAACTCTTGAATAATTTGGGAGACTTACAAAAATGCTCCTTTTTCAATACTCCTTTTCAAAAATGCCCCACTTGGCTGTCTATTTTTAAAAATACCCTTTTTTATGTACAAAATGACTAAATTACTCTTCTTTTAATAAAAGATATCACAAATATATAAGGAAAACATGAGAATGTGCACACATCAAAATTACAAATTTGATTCTGTAAAAACTTGTAAAACCTTTAAAATACCTTGTTCATTATCCTTCCCTTTTCAGCTTTTCCCCCCAACCCAAGCCGCATTCCACCACTAAGGCACAGGGGTCATCACCGTCATCGTCGTTGGCATTTAAGACGCAATGCCACTGCAGTTTCACCTTCGTCACACGGTAGTTCCTTTGCTTTGTTGTTGATTATCCTGCGTCCTATGCTAGTGGCAGCCTGGCAGGGATAATCTTTTATATGCATTCTTTTTTCTTCAGACAATAGTTGATAGATCCAGCGTAGTAACTACTTTTTCCTCTGTGTTTTCGGCTTTCCTTTTTTATAGACTGTCAGCAGACATGTGTGGAGCCTCTCACTTCAACTCCCTTTGGTTCACCTTGTGGTTGTGTATTCCCCATGAAAGTTCAGCTTCTACTAAGTGTCGCACCTTTTTCTATTTTCCCCGTGACCAACGAGTTAGAAATTGAGGTTGCTGCTGGAACATACTTGGAACAAAGCCAAGTGAAAATAATGGGTGCCAGTGCCGACAATGAAAATCAAGGGAAAACAGTGGTGGATATTAACCTTGTTCCACTTGGGGAAAAGTTCGACAACACTACAGCAACACTTATTTATCAGAGATTCCGGCACAAGAAAGTACCTCTAAATGAGACTGTTTTTGGTGATTATGAGGTTACACACATAAGTTATCCAGGTAAACTGATTTCATTCATATGCAAGTTTCTACCTTTTTTTGTTTCATTTCAAAGTTTGAATTTCTTAACCTTGCTTCAGGAATTCCTTCTTCTTCGCCAAATGGAGCTGTTACTGCAGATGCTCCAGGAGGCTTTCCAATTCCAATCAATGCAACTTTTGCCAACAAAAGCGAGGGAATAGGTTTTAGAACGATTGCAATCATTGCGTTGTCAGGTTTTGTCCTCATTCTGGTTTTGGTTGGAGCTATATCTATAATCGTGAAATGGAAGAAAATTGGGAAGTCATCTAATGCTGTTGGCCCTGCTTTGGCTCCATCGATTAACAAAAGGCCTGGTAATTTTCACCCTCTGACTTTTTAACGCTTCTGCAGCTTTAAAAGCATCTGTTTCTGAAATATTTATACGCCTTGCAGGTGCTGGATCTATGTTTTCCAGTAGCGCCAGAAGCTCAGGATCAGATTCTTTGATGTCTTCCATGGCTACATGTGCTTTATCCGTTAAGACCTTCACACTCTCCGAGCTTGAGAAGGCAACTGATAGATTCAGTGCCAAGAGGGTTTTGGGCGAGGGTGGATTTGGACGTGTTTATCAGGGGAGCATGGAAGATGGAACCGAGGTTGCAGTGAAACTGCTAACTAGGGACAATCAGAATCGAGACCGTGAATTTATTGCCGAAGTCGAGATGTTAAGCCGTTTGCACCACCGCAATCTTGTGAAACTGATTGGAATATGCATTGAAGGCCGTACACGTTGCTTGATTTATGAGCTCGTCCACAATGGGAGTGTCGAGTCCCACTTGCACGGTGACATATTCTATTCTCTGCACTTTTAATAACAATATATCCCAATTGTATCCATCACTTCTCGTTGCATTACCACCTAAAACCTGGTTTTCCGGTTGTTGACAAAACAGAAGGAACACTTGATTGGGATGCACGGTTGAAGATTGCACTTGGAGCAGCGAGAGGACTGGCTTATCTCCATGAAGATTCAAATCCCCGAGTAATCCACCGTGATTTCAAGGCTAGCAATGTTCTCCTAGAAGATGACTTTACCCCAAAAGTCTCAGACTTTGGACTGGCAAGAGAAGCAACAGAAGGAAGTCAACATATTTCAACTCGAGTCATGGGGACCTTTGGGTAAAATTTCTTTCCAACTCAAATATGATGAATACATACACTCTGGTTAGAAGACGGACTTACAGTGACTACCCTGGGAGTAATTTCAGGTACGTGGCTCCTGAGTATGCAATGACGGGGCATCTCCTTGTTAAAAGCGATGTTTATAGTTACGGTGTGGTTCTACTAGAGCTTCTCACCGGTAGAAGACCGGTAGACATGTCTCAACCTTCGGGAGAGGAAAACCTTGTGACATGGGCGAGACCCTTACTAGCCAACAGAGAGGGCCTGGAGCAACTAGTGGACCCTGCATTGGCTGGAACCTACAACTTTGATGACATGGCGAAAGTGGCTGCGATTGCCTCCATGTGCGTCCACCAAGAGGTCTCACACAGACCATTCATGGGAGAAGTTGTGCAGGCACTGAAACTTATATACAACGATGCAGATGAGACCTGTGGTGACTATTGCAGCCAAAAGGACTCATCAGTACCAGACTGTTTATAGTTACGGTGTGGTTCTACTAGAGCTTCTCACCGGTAGAAGACCGGTAGACATGTCTCAACCTTCGGGAGAGGAAAACCTTGTGACATGGGCGAGACCCTTACTAGCCAACAGAGAGGGCCTGGAGCAACTAGTGGACCCTGCATTGGCTGGAACCTACAACTTTGATGACATGGCGAAAGTGGCTGCGATTGCCTCCATGTGCGTCCACCAAGAGGTCTCACACAGACCATTCATGGGAGAAGTTGTGCAGGCACTGAAACTTATATACAACGATGCAGATGAGACCTGTGGTGACTATTGCAGCCAAAAGGACTCATCAGTACCAGACTCTGCTGATTTCAAAGGCGATCTGGCTCCTTCGGATAGCAGCTGGTGGAATTTGACACCTCGATTAAGGTATGGTCAAGCTTCGTCGTTCATAACAATGGAATATAGCTCAGGACCACTAGAGGACATGGAGAACCGGCCTCACTCTGCCTCTAGCATTCCAAGAGAAGGAGGCCTTATTCTACCAAACAGATCGGGTCCATTAAGACCCATGCGTAGTCGAAGAAACTTCTTTAGACTGAGAGGAAGCATGAGCGAACACGGTGGACCGTCGTCTTCTAGACATCTCTGGTCCGGCAATGGCGACTGGCTCTGAGAAACCAGAAAATGTACAGAGAAGAAAAGGGAAAGAGGAAAAGGAGGCTCACAACTCTTGAGCTGCATGGTTAGGTTGTGGTTAATCCGGTTTGGTTCGGTTCTTCTGGGTAAAGACTTTCCGGTTTGATTTCTTTTAGGAGTTCTTTTTTTTTTGTTTTGTTTTTCCTCAATAGAAGATTAATTGTTTGTTTTTGCGAGGATGCAAAAGCACAGGAAGGGTTGTATTTTAAAGGACGTCTGTATTTAGTTCTCTCTTCTTCTCTTTCTCCCCCACAAAAAACATTTTTTATTTTTTTTATTTTAGTGAAGTTAGTTATTACCTATTTTTTTTTTAGTTTTTCAAGTTCCTAAGAATTTTGGCTTTTGGTCATCGTTGTTTAGTTTCCGGTTCTCAAAATTTAAATCCGAAGTATTTTTTGGTTAAATAAATTTCTGGCTTGGGAGAGTCATTCGCTGGTGAATGGTGGTAACAAGTCACTTGGTCAAAGCTGTTGTAATGCTTTTCTAGTATCTTCTGGGCACAATGACAAGGATTGTTGGTAAAAGTATAATTTCATATGTTTGTCTTTCTTCCTCGCTATCTTCTTAGTTCCCCCTTCCACTTTCAGCAAAACCTCTTGTTCATTTTGTTATATAAAGAAAATCAGTAGGCCCAATAAACACAAGAATTGATATATGGGCTAAGCAAACAACGGTCACCGAGCGTAAGAGAAAGAGTTTTTAAATTTTGAGTTTTAAAGTAATGGTCTTATTGGGCCTACATTATGAAACCCATCTAATCTCTCGAGATATAACCGTTGAGGACAAAACGCTAAAATCGTTTATATTGCCGTCCGATTAAAGTATATGACGGATCAGATCAACGGTCATTATGGGTATAATTATATCCGTTATTAACGATACATTATTTTTCTCCCAAATATTTCTCTCTTCTCTTTTCTTTTCTCGAAGAATTCTTCGAAGACTGGTGAAGAAATTGGTTTCAAAATGGAGTCTTAAGACAAGACTGTGAACTTAAAAAAGTACTAGACCAAACGGCTTAAAAAAGTTGTAAGACAAAGATGCTTGACAAAGAATGTTGGATGGTAAAACGACCAGCAGATTTAAAGGAGTCTTAAGACAAGACTGTGAACTTAGAAGTACTAGACCAACGGCTTAAACAATTTTTAACCCAATGACTTTAAGAAGTTGTAAGACAAAGATACTAGACACAAAATATGCAGCGAGTTAAGAATGAGGTAAAGGGCACTCTCACTTAAAATGAATACTAACAGATTCTGATATCCACAGGTAAATGCTTCTGAAGGTGTTTAAAGTGTGAAGACTTTGAGGAGTTTTCAAATGTAGCTGACTTCTTTGACAGGTATATGCTTTTCAAACCTTTTTGTGTTTGTTTGTATTTTCTTTTCAAACTTCTTTGTAATTAGTTGATACAATTCTGAAAATCACAAGTGAGAGACAATTATGTGAAGTATAGACTAATTTTGACTTGCTCAGGTGTGTTCTTCAAACGATGTTAAATTTCTCATTGATGCCAAGGAGATTTCTAAGTGTAGCATAATTTATGATCAGGTATATATAAGCTTTCTCGACGTTTCTGTGATAAACTGATTTTATTACATGTGATAAGAAATTAGAAATGCAGGTCTAAGCACCATTCTTAATTAAAAATGTTTCTTATATTAGTTGTCTTAATAGCATTACTATCCTTGAATCTTGATCTATCCCTAAGATTCTATAAACTTCTTGCTAACGTATCATTAAAAAATGTTGATTTTGCTTTGGGTATTGGAATATTACATTGTGTGTTTAAATAAATTTATTCTTTCTATTTTCAATGCTTGTGTATCATAAGGTCTCAAATTCTATAAAATGGATGCATCTTAGAGTCTCTTGTCGATATTATGATTGTAGTTTCCTTGAATCTTGAAAGTATTTGTTTTGCGTTATGCTTTAAACCTTTGTTTTTTTTTTTTTTTTTTTTTTTGATAGGAATGTGAATATCATATAAATGAAGTTTGAGGTTTTACAAAAAGTCAACCTAGAGATTGTAGCCTTGCCAAAAAAGTTTTAAAAAAGAAGGGTTACAAAGAGTTGTTGGGTGTCAATCAACAAATTATCGGATCCAAAGAGCCATTAGGTTCCTGAAATGCTTCCGGTTCCGTCTGGCAGAGATGGTGTTGCGCAGCTCCTTGTCGATGAGGATAAAGACTGCATCTGGGCTGATATAGATTTGGTTGTGGAGAGCATTGTTTCTTTGCTTCCAAAGGTGGTACACAGCAGCATGACTCGCAAGCTTCCGGAGAATGAAACCTTTGTTGATTGATCTAACCATGTGAATGAAATTTGCATCATACACTGAGAAAAGGTAAATTTTACATTACATTTCTGTGTTTATAATTCTTGCTATCTCTGTTTTGGTGTTTGTATGAATAATAAAGTCCCTCATTTTATGAAACAGATGTATCTTGGAGTATCATGTAGATACTTATTCATCTAGTCTAGTCTTTCTCAAATTTTGCATCTTACACTGATGATTGTTGTTAGATTTTACCACTTGTACTCGTTGTTTGATTTTGTTACAATATAGAGATTGAAAATATCTTTTATCGCACTAGTTTCTATCCTTTGGTATCTTACTCTTTAAAGAGTCATGAAACTTAGAACTCTATTGAATCTCTGGTGTATTTAGTTAGAATATGAAATGGATACATATTTCTTGATTTCTTTACCATGCATTTTTGTTATAATCTTATTTATATATGATTGATGTCAAAATCAAGAAATTAGCATACAATGTTACCATCCTCATCGTAGATGTGTGGAATATGTACTATGATGTTAAGAGCATCATAAGAGTCTGTTTGGTTAAGTTTTTAAGAAACGGCACATGTGATTGCTAAAAATTTCAAGATTCAGCTGTAATCTTTCAATATGATTGCACATGTTTGACTTGAATCTTTCTCCTAAGGTCTATTTCATTTTGAATCAGTAACCTTTTTTTTTTTTTTTTGTAAACCACTAATTCTTTTCCTCTATCATTTCAGACACATACAATGGGTAGAGATTTAGCGGTTTTTGTATTGAAGAAGATTGTAACATTCTCGTTGTAAGAATTGTGAGAGGGATTCTGTTCCTCTCCTTCACAAGCATATTTTATATTTATATACTAGTTTAATACCCGTCTCATGGATTTTATATTTTTAAAATTGAATAAAATTTAACAAGAAATAATCTTAAATTTTGTTGTAAGTAAAAACTATCTTTAGAAAGTAATTAGACACGATTTATACTTAGAAAAAGTGTTATTTAACTATATAATTTTTTTTTTTTAATATACTCCTTCTGTTTCAAAATATATGATGTTTAAGAAATTTTTTTTTGGAAAAATGTCATTTAAATCATTATTTTACCATTTTCGTTGGTTTAAAACATGAACTTCAGATTTGGTGATTTAAATCCTTAATTTTATGTTGATTTTGATTTTAATCATGAATTCTCGTTGACAAAGCCAATTGAGGTACATCGTTTACTGGCTAAACGGATCAATAAGACGATGTCATCGCATAATTGGCATTTCGAAGCCATTGCATAACTTTTTTTCTACACCAACATGATTTTCACCTTCTTCTTCGAAAACTATGCGAGGACATCTCCGTTTAGCCAGTAAACGATGTACCATAATTGACTTAGTCAAATAAAATTCGTGATTAAATTGAAAATTAACATAAAATTGAGGATTTAAGTCATTAGGTCCACATAAAATTGAGGATGTAAATCACCAGGTCCAGAATTTCATGCTTTAAACCAACGAAAATGGTAAAGTGATGATTTAAATGACACTTTTCCCAAAATGTTTTTGTTTCAATATAAGCTGTTTTACAAATTTTGATGCAATTTTTAAATGCATTTGATGTTTTATAACTATTTGTATTCTGCAGTCTTTTATATCATTGGTTGGATTTTTTAAAGTTAAATATTAAATGATAGTATTTTTTAAACAAATTCTTAAAGGATGTGCTTTTAACTTAAACATCTTATATTTTAAAACATAGGGGTACTAACTTACATTTCGATATTTTAAATTTATTGTAACGTTTATTATAATAGTAATTAATGTTAAATCGTCAATTACCAAATTTGTTTTCAAATATTAATCATTAATATAATTAGTTATTGTCAAATAAAGTGGCTTCACAATTCTCGTCTAAAATATGATTACACAACTTTTTCTAGAATTTTTTTTTATATGCAAACCGGTCAAACCGTCATTTTATTTACATCTATTTACTATTGTTCTATCTATTTTACAACTAAAAATGTGTTTTTACAACCAATTATTTTTTACTAGTGAAGAATGTTTTTATCACCATCTCCAAAATGTCTTTACCCTTTACAAACAAATTAAACCAACTATAAATATCTCTTTACATTAACTTTTTCATAGTTTCTGAAATCAATAAAATTGTTAACTTAAAAAGTATTTCGAATGAAAAATATATCTTATAGCAATAATTGATGATATATTTGACGGGCGATGATAGAATGCTTATTAAAACGATATAGTAATGTTAAATAACGTTATTCAGACGCTATAGAAGACTAATATTCTTGTAATGGATCTTAATAATTTTGAAAACCAAGCTTTATTAGACGGTTTAACCTAAATATCAAAATCTTAACATTAACATTAACAAGCCAAACGGTTAAACTAGGGCCCAATACTCCCTTATTTCTATTATGTATATATACATACAGAGCCGGCTCAATTAATTTGGAGTTCCTCTACAAATCTTAAAAATTGGTCATTTCTTCATACAAAAAATTGGCCTTTTTCATACTAAAAAAAATATTTGGGCCTTTTTCATGCTAAAAATATCTTAAAATTTTAAAAATAACTCTTTTTCATACTAAAAAAAAATATTTTAGGCCCTTAAGTTTACCCAAAAAAATTTGGGCCCTGCACATTTGCTCCTCTTGCTCACCCTAAGAATATATATATATATATATATATATATATATATATATATATATATATGTTTTTCTTTGTTATAAAGAGTAGTGTGAATTAGGGTTTTTCTTGATTCTTCTCTCGGTGGCTTTTTGTTTTTAGCCATAGTCTTCCGAAATTAGGGCACAGAAGAAGAAGAAGAAGAAAGCAACCTTCGCCTCTAATGATTACGTCACTTCCCGACGACATCATCGTCGATATTTTAGCGCATGTGTCGAGATGGGACTATCCAACTCTCTCCCTCGTCTCTAAACACTTCCGGTCACTCGTTTCCTCGTCTGAGCTATACGCTAGACGATCCTTGTTGGGATACACCGAAGCTTGTATCTATTCTGTTCTCTTTAATTACGACACTGAAAGATTTCATTTGTATGTTCTTCGTCGTCGTCTGAAAAGAAACAACAACAGTTGTTATTTTGTCCTTATCGAGTCACTTCCTCCTATGCCTTCCAACGTAAGTTTTGTCTCGATTGGTTCGAAGATATATGTGTTGAGTGGAGATTCGAGTACAACTCCCTATAGCATAGACTGTAGATCTCACATTGTGCAGCCCTACTCCAGAATTCCTCATGGAAGCAAGGCTATACAGATTGTTGACGTCATCGACAAAAAGATTTACGTAATGGGAAAGTGCGATCATGACGATGCAAAGAAGGTAATGCTGGTGTTCAATACAGAAACACAAAGGTGGGAGCCTGAGATGACAACAAAGCCAAGCCTAGAGTTACGTCGGTTCTGGTTTGAACGCGTGGTTATTGCGGATAAGATGTACGTGAGGGATTACCATTATTCTCAGGAGAGCTTTGTTTACGAGCCAAAGGAAGATAAATGGGAATTGGACGAGATGTTGAATTCTAATAAGTGGTACCGTGGGTGCGTTCTTGATGACCTATTGTACTACTATGATCCTTTTGAGAACAAGTTAAGAGCGTATGATCCAAAGCACAGGTGTTGGAAAGTGGTCAAAGGTTTGGAAGAATTTTTGCCTCATATAGCTTTTCCATGGTCAGACACTGTCAGTTATGGTTGGAAACTAGCTGTGTTCTTCATTACATGTGAAAATTGGGTTATAAGAAGAGAGATTTGGTGTGCAGAGATCTCAATTGAAAGACGCCAAGGAGAAATTTGGGGTAAAGTTGAGTCGTATGATGTTGTGTTTAGTTGGAAATTTTCCTACAATAAAACTCTAGCGGTTATGGTTTGATCAAGTTCAGTTCTAAGCACAAGCAAGCGAACCCATCGATTGTCGTTTTTTTTTTTTTTTTTGTAGCTTTTTAAATTTAGTTGTCCCTTTTATTAAAAACAAAGATATATCATATACTATTATTTGAGAAGTACATCCTTTTTTTTTCGGGCAAAAGAGTTTCATTCATTCAAAAGAAACCGAAGTTACAAGGATAGATAGGAGTTCCGAGAAACTCAAAGTTTTGAAACACAAAGAAGAAAGCATTCATCGATGCAACATAAAGAAATCTAATATAGAACGACTGTAGATCCACAAACAATTGAAGACACGAGCTGAATAGCATCTTGCCACAAGTAGATTCATGGTGAGTCGCAAGCACTTCCGCGAACAATTCGGGAGGTTGACTAGTGGTAACTGTCAAAAGACAACGTGACGTTGAAAAGGAGTCCATAACCGTATATCTCGCCGGCACGAGACACATTAAGACAGTAAAATGGTTAGGATAAGGAGACGGTTTCTCGACTTGAGAGTCGTAAACCAACACCACGGACTTGAAGAAACGGTTCTCTCCGTAAAGGAGGATGAGAAACAGATTGTTCTCTCCATAAAGGAGGATGGTTGCTGAAATAAACTCTCCATAGAAGGGAAGATTGCAGGCCGAAGACCCTCAAGGTCGGGTAGAGATCGTTGTAGAACTTTAAAACATGGATCCAATATTTGTCGTACACATTCAAAAGCTTTCAATACAGTAGGAGACCAAATAAGGGGCTGAAAAATTCTAGCTTGTAGTTGCTGGATTGTGGCTAGAGTGATCTGGGACAGATTGCAAAAGTTGAAAACAAGATCCCGTAGATAAGAGTCGAAGATGAATTCTGAAATTTTTTCAATATAATCGATTTCCACCCAGAAGAAAGAGATGCCGTGCGTCCTCGACAAGCTCTTCGGACAAGACGCAAGTAACGGTCCAGGATAAACACATGCCGTCAACGATATCCGTTGAGAGGATCCTTCTAGGGAAAACGGTTGGTCGATATAAAATTGAATGAGACCAAAATCCTCGGAAGAAACCCAAAATAACCTTTCAATCAGACCTTTACAAAGGTAACTATCAAACCAAACCAGAGAAGTCTCGACTCTGTTACGATGGAGTCCTCGACCATCCAACACGAGAGAAGAAAGCGTCCAACAAATTGGGTTTGATAGAGTTTGAAAAAAGACAGACCTGGGCCAATTAAATCATTGGGCCTTGTAGAGGTAAAAGAGAGGTTGAGGCCCATCTGGCGAAATTGTGTGTCCAGCCCATAGAGGGAGACCCTTTGCAAGATTAGGGTTGCGCCGCTAGCCACCACTGGCCTCACCGGAGCAAACGACGTTCCATGATTCTCAGACAAAAAGAAGCTTTCCGGAGTCTCAAAACTGAGATTTGTAGGCTCAAATAGAAGCGCAAGGAGAAGTGGAGCCCTTTCCGTCAACGACGAATGGTGAGGAGATGCTTTAAGGAAAACCGAGCTAGGTTCAAATCTGTCAACTTTTAGAAAAGCACTCAGACCGATATCAGATATTGGCGATGAGGCGCCTCTAGATTTAAAAGGTTCATCTTGTGTCCATGTCGTAGTAAGTAATGTGACCAGAGGGTAAATAGGAAGGGGGATCGCCGGAATCCGCCTCCTAACTCTGTCGCATAAGATTGAAGTGCCGTCGAATATCGTCACAAGCGAGAAGGTTCGAGAAGATTGAGAAAAAAGGCAAAATTGAAACAAAGAAAAGAGCTTTGAGAGACAAGGGTTCGAGAGAGACGAGATATCCCGACGCCGGCAAACTAGCGATCAGAAAAGAGGTCTCGAGAATAGTGCCTGGGAGAGTTTCTTGTTTAGTGCTAAGTTTCTTAAATTATTTCTTTCTTTGGGGAAGTACATCCTCTAAGTTGTAACGTTGAGTTTGTAAGTATATGCTATTAGAGATTTCTAATCATAATCATTTTAATTCCCTGTCACTAATATTAACCAATTTATTAAAAGAATGGGTCAAACGGGTTAAAGATATTTAAAAGAATCCTTATCTAATAATTCACAAGTCACTTTAGTATTAACTGCAACTCTATCTATCTGCCACGTGGATTAAGTCACAAATTTTATACTTTCATTTTTTAAAACAATTTTTACTTTTCTCATTAAAAAAAGAAAATACACGACAGAAAAATAATAATCTTCTTTTACAACTGCTTCGCCTCCTCCACGATCTTGATATCTCCACTTCGCTTCTCTTCTCTTCTTCAACAATGAAACAACATGAATTCACACAAAAAGCTTCCAAATCTCTTCTTTTTCTGATTCCGGTTTCCTCCAACTTTTATCGGGTGTAAAATTGAAGTTCTTGCATCTTCTGATTTTAGGGTTTCATAAATCGCATGTCTCTTCTTTTTGCAATTTACAAATTCTGATTTCTAATTTCCCAATTCTGGTTTTTTTATTCATCATTGTTTAATCATTCATTCACATGTCACAACAAATTCTCAGTTTTTATTTTAACAACTGGAATAAGTTTGATAAAGAACTTGAATTATATCAAACGAATGGATTCATAACTTCAAATTTTATTTAGTCTGTTATCAAATTGTTCTTTATGAGGTTCATCATAATTCTCCACAATGATTTAGTTTGTTATTGAAGTGTTCTCTATTAAAAAATCTTTCAACTTACAAGGTTAGCGATTACAACACCGGACGACAATGGTGCTTGTCGCTTCCTCTGTCTTCCAATCTTCATTTCATCTACAAGTTTTTCCTGTTTTTCAGTTTGATATTGAAGTTACAAAGGATTTTGGATGGTTCCTATCATTTACGTAGTTGTATTGGAATGTGGATTGGTCTTTTCTTGTGACATTTAAGCTTTGGATTAGAGTGTGAATGATTCATCTCTCTTAGTTTTCTTTGAGGTTGAACCTTGCTTCCAAGGTTGATTTTGAGATTGAATGATATATCGTGTTTGCAGGGTATTGATCTGATAGCTTGAGGCAAGAACAAGAAGACCAAGAGGACAGCTCCAAAGTCAGATGATGTCTACCCTAAGCTTAATGTCAAGGTTACAAATTCAGCGACGATCTCTGTCCTTTGTTTTTCCCCCTCATTTGAATAGGTTTTTAATTGGGTGAATTTTACTGAATAAAGATTTGTTTTTATAATTTGCAGTTTTACCGTTTTCTGGTAAGGAGAACTCAGAGCAAGTTCAATGTTGTGATATTGAAGAGGCATTTTATGAGAAAATCAACAAAGCTCCTCTTTCTCTATATAGGCTTGTGGAATTCATGGCTGGCATGGCTCCATTTCGTTGATCCTTCTCTCTCTCTTTTGTATCTTTATGTTGAAATCAGTCTTAGATCTTGATTAATCTGTTTTATTTCTTTAGAACCAGTTCCCAATTTGTGAAACTAAAGTGTTCACTGATAATCTGAACTTAGTCTGCAACATAGATGTGTTCAATGTTCGGTTTGAATTTTGTTATCTAGAACATATTTAAAGGTGCTTCATGTTCTGATATTGGTTGGAATTGAGTGTACACGAGATTCTAGCTATGAAAGTTGCTGCCTTGAGGTTCACAAAGAGAGCAAGAAGTCGCATTAAGAAAGCTGGTGATGAATACTTAACCTTTGACCAGCTAGCTCTCATGATTCAACTCTCTCGGAGACAAAGAGCATGAGGTCGTTGACACCGGAATTGAAGGACGAGAATCAGATTAGAAGAAAACTAGGATTTTATCAATCATTGTATTATTTTGTGTCATTTGCAATTAGTAGTGTTAAGGTTATATGTTCTTGGTCTGTTCGATCTTATCATTGTTAAAATCAATTTGTTAAGTTTGCAGCGTAATAGGCTAATAGCGGAAAAACGGTCTATTTCCCCCCGAGAACTATCGTATCACGCCAGATAGAGCCCGTTCTTTGACCTCTGTCTATATGTCCATGAAACGGAAGTTAAACACTTATTTCCCCCCTAATTGGAAGTTCGATATCTTAATCTCCCCGATTCGTGGTTACGTCGGTTTGATGTGTAAACCCGACACGAAACCATGTATGGGTCGTAACCAAACCAAAAAACAGACCGGTTTCCTTATTATAACCCGACATCCCGACCCATTGTCGTAACCAAACAAAAAATCCCCAATTCCCAAATTCAAAATCCCCAAATTCAAAACTCAAGAACCCTAAAATCCGATTTCTCTTTGAAAACCCGAATTTGAGTTTGAAGATGAGCAATCTATCATCGAGTTCGACGGGTTCTACAGGTCCTCGTGGAAGAGGAAGAGTGGTCGGAGTGCCAAAGAGCTGCTGGTGCGGAGAAGGAATCGTGGCATTGATTTCTAAATCCGATCCGAATCCTTACCGGAGATACTTTCGTTGCGGTTTTGCTGCAAAACATAGGGTAATGTCAATCTCTATTTCCTCTGTTTTCATGTTTTAGATTCTTCTAATATTGAAAGATCACTGTTCATATCTAGCTAAGGAACGATGATCACACTTTCAAATGGGTTGATGAAGCCTTGCTCAATGAGTTAGAGACATTGAGAGGAAAGAATTGTGAACTTGAGCTGCAGTTGAAAGAGCTTAGAACAGAGAGGTTAGAGTTTGATAAGAAGGTTTCCGAGAATGTCCAAATGAAGATAGAGAAGGAGTTATTTGAGAAGGTGGAAGATGCTTTGTCTGAAGCCAAAACAAGCAATAAGAAGATGATGATTGTAGTAGTGTTAGGGTGTATGATTATGATTGGATTCACCAAACTTGTAGGATGAATGATCCGATGAATGTAAACCCAAGCTTTCTAATATCTTATGTCTTTGTCTTTGTAATATGATCATGATTGGATTTATGTTTCTACTTTTGGTGGACTAGTGTGTAAGAGAATTATGTCTTTGTCTTTGTAATATGATCATGTTTATACTCTTGTTTGATTTATGTGTAAGAGAATGCATTTAGTAATCTTGTTTGTTCTTTTGTTAAAGAAAAAGAACATCCAATTAGCCATTTTGATCAAAATAAGTTAAAGAAAAAGAGGAATCCGGATAACATTCAAAATAGCATTCATCCTAAACATCCATTTAGCCGTAGAAACAAAACATCCATTTAGCCGTAGAAACAATGTGGTCGAAAATTACAATGAGACAACCACAATATAAGTACCCTAGTTCTTATACCCTATGACAGTCTTCTACTCCTTGGATCAAGCTTGAGTGAGTGAACCTTGACTTGGTTCAGGTTGAGAAGGCTGCGAGACAAAATGAGAAGCCTGCAAAATTACATCAAGTGTTAGTATAATCCAACAAATGCCACAAACACAACAAGAATCTCACATACCTTATCTTTAGCATGGTGTCTTGAATTGTGATCAGCTTGCCCACAAACACGACAATGCATGATTCTTTTCTTTGCCTTTGGCTGCTTCTTACTAGGAGACTCATTCAAACCCTTTTTCCTTTTTTTCTCAGCTTTTGTCATCTTGTTGTCTTCTCCTTCTGGTGACTCAGGCACATGGACTCTAGGCCTATGACTCTCAGGCCAGAACTTAGGTCCTCTTTGTGGACAGACGCCATCCGTGTAGTTTCTTTTCCACATTGCTGTCCTGAACCATTGACACACAAAGTTCTCAGGTTCAAGCTTCTTGTAGAGAATGACTCCATATGCATGCTCACACGGGATGCCACAGATCTGCCACTTCCTGCATGTACAAGTGTATGCCTTTAAGTCTACTCGGTGATAATCAGAACCATGCCTCACTTCATACATTCCATTGGTGCTTGTAGATACTTTGGCAGTAGAAGCGAGCTTGTGTTCACCAGCTAGAAACTTGGCAACATAAGGTGTACATGCACCTGCAAAAAAAGATATAAAAGTTGTCAAGTAAACAACAAAGATTAAGTAAACAACAGAGATTAAGAGAGAAGCTTACCTGTGTGAGTATGGGATTCTACAGACCTTTTGGCAATCCTTACCATGGCCATTCTTCTGATAGTCTCTAACATTGCAACAAATGGCTTCTCTCTTGCCTTGTTCAAAGATCCATTGAAAGACTCCACTGAGTTGTTGTCAACATCCTCACAGAAGCTGCCTACTTTCTGGAATGCCCTGGACCAACTCTTTGGATTTGTTTTCATCACATCATTGTAGATAACACTGTCATAGCAGAATATCTTCTCCAAGTGCTGCTTAAAATCTTTTTCATTATAGGCCCAAGCCAAATTCCAGAGCAGTGGCTTTATCCTGGTTTTACTACCATGAGTCTTCTTTAAGTTCCCATAGATGTGTTGGACACACATCCGATGCTCTATATTAGGTAACTCAAGCTGAACAGCTTTGATTAAACCCTGAAACAAAAAAAACAAACATTAGCTAAGACAGAAGTGAAATGACAAAACAAAACAACAAAAGACAAGAGCAGTTACCTTTTGTCTATCAGACATCATGATGAACCCTTCACCATTGCTTAAACCCAAGTCCTCTTTCAACAGCTTCACAAACCAAACCCAATTGTCTGTGTTCTCTACCTTAACCACACCCCAAGCTATAGGATAGATCCTATTGTTAGCATCCCTACCTAATGCTACCAGTAACTGTCCCTTAACCTTATTCTTTAGAAAACAGCCATCAATACCTATCAGAGGCCTACAAGAATCCTTCCATGTTCTTCTAAGGCTGTCAAAACAAACATAGAACCTATTAAAGATGTCTTTACCATCATCAGTCGTCAGACAATCTACCTCAACATGTGACTCCTTGTTTGAATCTACAATCTCAGCCGCATAGTCCCTTAGCCTTGCAAATTGATCATCATACTCCTTCTCAATCCACTGTAACGCTTTCTTCCTCGCAGACTGACATTGATTCCTAGTCACACTAATCTTCCATTGTTCCAAGATGATTTCTTCAATCTTTGCCGGCATGTAGAACTCGGGATTATCCCTAATCTTGTCGACAAACAACCTAGCTATATGAGGCACCTTAAACATCTCACATTCTCCATTTGGGATACAGCTATGTTTGTCAATGAATTTCCTAATCTTCCACATTTGATCCTTCGGAAGTATTGCTGCATAAACTTGCCATTCACACCGAGCTCCATCCTCCTTACCATCATTTCCAACACATTTGAATCCAATCTTATCACTATCATACCTGTACTGCTTCAGATTGCATCCGGTTCTGAGAGCGTAATCAACAACCGCCTCTTTGAATGCAACTCCACTGAAGAAACTCTGCTTCGAGTACAAATGGCCATCACCACGCCTTACATGTGTATCAAATCTTCCAGGTTCGTCGTCGTTTTCTTCATTCTCACTCTCCGGGTACACATCGTGGCGGATTGGTGGTTCGTCGGTCCACTCCCTTAGCATCTCTTCCATGTGAAATTCATCTCTGTCATTAGCTTCAGGATCGACATCGCCGACGGCTTCGGCTTCGCCGAGAACATCAGGATCATGAGGAACTACCGACATCTCCAAGATTTTGAGCAGCAGATCGAGGAGCTTCGATTTTCGATTCTGAGTTTCTAGGGTTCGTCGAGAAATTTTGATTTGGGGAAGTGAATGAAATCGGGTTGTAATCGGGTAGTAATTAGGTTTATTTCGGTTCGAATTAGGTTTATTTCGGTTCGAATTAGGTTTAGTCGGTTTAATTAGGTTTCGATATACAGTAAACCGAGTAAACCCAGCACGATGGGGTTATACATCTCCAGCTTTCAGAATTGGGGAGATTAAGATATCGAACTTCCAATTAGGGGGGAAATAAGTGTTTAACTTCCGTTTCATGGACATATAGACAGAGGTCAAAGAACGGGCTCTATCTGGCGTGATAAGCATACTTCTCATGGGGAAATAGACCGTTTTTCCGCTAATAGCAGATACAACATCTTATTATGTACTCTTTGATTTCATCTCATTTATATTTAATTCCAACTATTAAAAAGATTATTATATTCTATAAGGCCGTGCAACGCACGGGTTAGTACACTAGTACCTAATATTTAGGAGGCCAATCATGAATCTAACAAACATGGATTTTGTTTAGATACAAATAATTTTTAATCATACAACGAAATTTAGTAGATTTTAAAATATTTTCTTAACTAAACTATACTAATTAATTATGATTAGTATATATGGAAGAAAAAACGAAAGTTTGTATATATTAAACTA